CAAACTTGGCCCAGACATCGGACTGGAAGTTGCCGAATCTGTCCCTACGTGTGATACGCCCAGCAACGACGTCGGACATCGTGCACTGACTCTTGATCTTGCGAATCGAAAGACCGTCAGCACAGAGGCCACCGAATTCCTCCAAGACCTTCCAGAAGACCCGCCACCGACAAGCCCACGCCGAGGAGTGGGCGGTGGTGGCCTCTTCTCCTCTCTCAGCCACCCCTCGGAACACAACATCGGAATCGGTGACAGCCGAGATCGGAGGCACTGAGTTCCGAACCAGGAAAATCCACGCCTCCAATTCGGCATCGTCAGCATCATGCACGGCCTGCGAGCAAGCGCAGCACACGACATCCTCAACACCGAGCGGCTCCTGCTCGCACAATGTGACTACTGCCCAGCCTGTACATTTCAGACGCAGGCCCGTCCAGAAAGGCTTCTTTGGCAACCAGGGCCCCAGGGCCCGAGCGCCGATGCCAAACCACGGCGTCCTGAGTGGGGGCCCTCCACGAGGTCCGAGGGATGGGCCAAAGTGCTGGGGCCTGGGGCATGGGGCCTGTCCTGAGCCTGGACCAGCGGGCCAAGCGCAGTAGGGCACGGCAGCTCTTGGCACAGCTCGCACTCGAAATGCCTGCGCACCAGCGTACCAGGCCGCCGACACACTAGACACTCGTTATTCATGGCTTTGCGTGCCTCATACTTCTTAGCCATGGGCCACTGGCCGTTCACTATACACGACTTCAGATACGCACGAGCCTCGGGCCCCAGGGTCGGGAAGTCACGGTTTTCATCGCACCGAGGCCGTCCACTGGAGACCGCCTGGACCGAGGGCACCCAAACCGCACCAAACTCGAGATGTTTCAAATCCTCGTGCTTCGCCACCTGTCGCCATTGCCAGGCCGTGGCGGCCTGCACCAGATAATGGCGGATCACCCTGGGACACAGCTCGGAGATGCCTATATCAAGGCCATCGTGGGTGGTCCACACAAACGCGGAACGCATTGACCACCCAACTCGTGCCAGTGAAAGCCGACACGCACTGAAGGGACCAGAAACTTGGGTCCACAATGTGACGGACGAAGCTCCTTCCAATCCCACCCGCACCACATGCCTCGGCACCCATCCCTCCCATATCGCTCGACAGAGCGTGAGAACAGGCAGCAGCGTGGCGCGGAGGATCGGGTCCGCATCCCTCTCGCACATTGAAGTGAGCGTGCGTGATTTGCCCGCTGTGGTGCTCGTCAAACAAGCAAAGGCCGTGCTACGCAAGGTCTCAAGGTTGGACGTGGAACATCCAGCGACATTCATGCCATACGTCATGCTCGCCTCCAACCCAGAACGTGCAACCTTCCGATCAGCAAGCCGTTTCTTCTTCCCAGTACGAATGAGACCGATGCGACGTAGACGCATTCGAGTACCCCGAAGACGTTCCTCGCGCACAGCGTGCCCTACCCTTCTTCGACCACAAGAGAAATCAATCCCGAGGTTCCGCTCGTGCTGCGTAGCTTCCGTGCCCAACTTAGCGTGCAAACGTCGCGCAACCTCATCTCTCACGCACTGCACATCGCACAACACTCTCGACTTGTCGACGTGCGCGCGCAAGGTCACCGCTGCGAGAGCTGCCTGCAACTCCAGCGAGACCCGGACCAGCTCTCGTGTGACTCTCGACTGCGTGCCAATCCGATGCAGCAACAAATCGTCAACGACGATGGTGGGGACGACAGTGCGATGCAAACGGTCGGCACACATAATCCAGAGGCCGAATCAAGATAAGCTTGAGCATGCAAGTTGCCCAACTGTCGCCAGGGAGAACCGTCTGCTCAACCTCCATGGGCGACGAAACAACTTGGCCCAGGCAACAAAATCGTTCGGCTCGGTACAGGTCGATATTCAATGTCCTCCTCCTCTTCCTCCTCCTCTTCCCTCGTTCCCATGCCTCCTCCTCCTCCTCCTCCTCCCTCGTTCCTCCCCCTCCTCCTTCCTCGTTCCTCCTCCTTCCTCGTTCCTCCTCCTTCCTCGTACCTCCTCCTTCTCCTCCTCCTCCTCCTCCTCCTCCTCCTCCTCCCCGAGGGGGCCCCAGGGGCCCAACCATATGCTCCACCACCGCCTCCCTCACCCCCTCTGGGGACGACGGTGACATTCGAAGAGAAACGCAAAACTTTCGGCGTTCAGCGCGGATTTCTTGGATCCGCGCTGGACACCCCCAGGGGGTCCAGGGCAAATCCAAGAAATCCGCGCGGAGCGCCAACAGTTCATTGTTATGTAATTTCTTAGCATTGTTATTTTTTCGATGACCATCATCAATTTATTATTGCTAGTCTGCCTCTTATTACTGTTATTAGTGTTCCTCGTAATCCTCTTTTAATCAGTATTACCATTGTTTGTATTTTTAAGTTATTGTGTTATTATTGTCAGCACCATCATGATTATTAGTATTACTATCGTTGCCAGGTTTATGATTCGTATTCGTTGAATCACTACTACTAATCGGAGGTTGGGGGGTGAGATCGAAGTGGAACGGAGAGCCCCCCTACCGGGAAATCGATTTCGGTTTCGTGTTCGTGCGTGCCGGGCGGGCGAGCCGAAGCTGCGTGGGCGGACGAGAGAAAGTCTCCTGTGGCTGAGGCGCGGCCGGACCAAATGACTCCCTTCCGGGCGGCCGGGGCCCCGCGGTGTCCCGCCGGTGTCCCGCTGGTGTCCCGTGTGGCTGAGGCGCGGCCGGACCAAATGATTCCCTTCCGGGCGGCCGGGGCCCCGCGGTGTCCCGCCGGTGTCCCGCGGTGTCCCGCGGTGTCCCGCGGTGTCCCGCGGTGTCCCGCGGTGTCCCGCCGGTGTCCCGCGGTGTCCCGCGAGGATGATGATGATGAGATGATGATGATGATGATGATGATGATGATGAGATGATGATGAGATGATGAGATGATGATGATGATGATGATGATGGTGTCCCGATGAAGATGATGATGATGTTGATGATGGTGCCGATGATGATGATAGTGTCCCGATGATTATGATGATGATGCTCATGATGATTATGTTGATGATGATGACGATGATGGTGTCCCGATGATGATGATGATGATGATGATGATTATGATGATGATGATTCCGATGATGTTGGTGATGATGATGTTGATGGAAATGGTGTCCTGGCGGTAATGATGTAGATGATGATGATGTTGATGATGATTATGGTGTCCCGATGATGATGATGATGGTGATGATGATGATGGTGATGCTGATGGTGTCCCGATGATGATAATGATGATAATGACGATGTTGATGATGATGTTGCTCATGATGATGATGGTGCCCCAATGATGATGATGTTGTTGATGATGATGTCGATGGTGATGATGCAATGATCATGGTGATGATGGTGCCCCGAGGATGATGACGATGTTGATGATAATGTTGATGATGGGAACGGTGGTGATCATGATGGTGTCCCGATTATGATGATGATTATGATGATGCTGCTGGTGATGATGACGATGACTGTGTCCCGATGATGATGATGATGTTGATGATGAGATGATGATGGTGATGATGATGATGTTGTCCCGATGATGATGGTGACGTTGATGATGATGTTTATGATGATGATGATGATGATGATGACGGTGCCCTCATGGTGATGACGATGTTGGTGATGATGTTGATGTTGATGATGTTGATGATGATGATGGTGATGATGACGTTGATTGTGAGAGCGATTGTGATATCGATAGTGATATCGATATTGAGACCGAATTCGAGATCGATTGTGTGACTGATTGTCAGTTCGATTGTGAGATCAATTATGAGATCGGTCGAAAAAGATATATCGAGTGATATTGATTGTGAGATCGATCGAGTGAGATCGATCGAGCGAGACCGATAGTGAGATCTATACTGAGATCGATAGTGAGACCGATCGAGTGAGACGTTGGTTCCCCCCCCGAACCTCCTTATCACCCGATGGGTGGTCGTATAGGTATTGCTTTTGGTGCTATCATCATCTATAGTATGGGAATCATCATTATTTGCTGTTGAGTACGATTCGTATTCTGATTTTTTATGTTACCACCCCGTGTATTAAAAAGTAGTGATCGGCACTATGCGAGGATACAATGCTCGGGTCTTCGCCAATCGATAAAACCTCGAGTTTCGATCTTCGATCGATCCCAAGATGGCTCCAAGACAGGCTCGTGACCCGAACGGAGGAAAGGCGCCGCAGGGGTGGACGAGACGCGCGGTTGTTAATTAGGACAACCCAAACGAAATCGCCACTCTCTGGCGTCGTGAAAGTGGCCGGAAAAGATTCTGTGAGGCATTATCAGGCGATACCGCCACTCTCAAGCGGCATGAAGATCGGTCTGAGCATTTTTTCTGCGGAAGTCCCACGCGAAATCGCAATTTTCAGATGCCGTGGCAAATTTTCAGATATCCCTGGAAAGCGATCCGAAAGTGTTTGCGAGCAAGTCTCGGGCGGAATCGCATTCTCAGACGCGGACCCAATTTGGTCGTTATAATATTATGAAGGGGGATGGATGCATTTGAAAATCCCAAATCGGCCCCAACTCCAACAATGTCCTGGGGCCCCGCGGCCTAACGGGAGGCCAACCGCGTCTCCCGCGCCCCCCGCGGTCTCCACTTTTAATCCAGCGGGCTGTGGACATTTCATCGCAGCGCAACATCGTCATCATCATACCCATGGCATTTGCCAGCATTTAGTTCTTTCGCCCCCCCAACCCCAACTTCCTTTGTCACCCGAAGGGTCGTCGTTGCCACACAGGTATGCACCACCGCCTCCCTCCACCTCCCCCTCTCCTGGGAAGAAGGAGAAGAAAAAGAGGTTGGAGGAAGGGTGAGGGCATGAAGGTGGTTGTGGTGGTGGGGGTGGGGGTGGTGGTGGTGGTGGTCGTGGTGGTGGTGGTGGTGGTCGTCGTGGTGGTGGTGCTGGTGCTGGTGCTCGTTGTCGTGCACGTGGTGGTGTAGTTCTTGGCACCCGCAAGGCCGCCCGCGAGGTCGCCAGGGCGCAGGGCGAGGCGGGCATCGCCCTGCGGGGCGGCGTCGGCACCCGCCCCGCCGGCCACGCCAGCACCGCGGCCGCTGGAGGGATCGAGCAGTGGCGAAGCGTCCTGGCGTGCCTATAGGCCTACCAAACAATGTTCTAAGGACCTTTTGTGGTTCCCACGACATGTTCTTAGAACAGTTTTGGCTGGGACTGTCTTGTTTCAACACATCGGGTTTATGTTATATGAACATTGTCTTTGTTATTAAAACATCTTGTTCTGAAAACATAACGTGGTAGGACTATAGGAATGCCAGGACGGTCGGTCATTGCTCAAAGAGAGCCACCCAGGGCTCCCAGAGACGGAGGGGGGGAGGGGGGGCGCAAAGCACCAACCAGGAGGGGGAGGGGGCGGCACACGAGGGGGAGCTCTTGGGGCGGGGTCGGAAGTTCCTCCGCCTCCTCCTCCTCCCTCCTCCTCCTCCTCCTCCTCCTCCTCCTCTCCTCCTCACCCTCCTCCTCCTCCTTCCTCCTCCTCCTCCTCCTCCTCCTCCTCCCTCCTCCTCCTCCTCCTCCTCCTCCTCCTCCTCCTCCTCCTCCCCCCTCCGCCCCCTCCGTCTGCGGCTGGACCCCCAATCTTGTCGTGAGAAAGTCACGACGGGGGCTTTTTCGCCGTTGTCGGCCTCTGAGGGCCCTCGCGGCCACGCGCAGAAATGGGGTAGGGAGGAGGGGGGACGTCTTTGAGAAGGAGGCTGCTTCTGAGAAGGCGCGGGCCTTGTCTGTAGATGTAAGGCCCGCGCCTTCTAAGAAGCGGCCTCCGTCTAGGAAGCCTTCCCCCCACCCATACTCCCCTTGTGCGTGCCGCCAATCGCAAGCAAATCGCGACGGGGGGGGTTCGCTATTTTCGGCCACTGGAGGCCCTCACTAGCGTCGGAGATTCCAAGAAATCTGGCCGCCCAATTTTTTGGGATGCGTGGGCCCTGGATGTCTGGACCGTTTCCCTAGGACCGTTTTTTCGTCCCGGGACTGTTTTTGACGGGAGGAGGAGTGACGCTACAGCCTTGACGGTAAAGTTCGCCCAACGTCAAGAAGGAGGAGGGGCAGGAGGAGGAGCAGGAGGAGGAGGAGGAGGAGGACGGAGGAGGAGGGAGGAGGGGAGGAGGAGTAAAAGAGACAGGAAAAAAAGACAGAAAGTTTACAAGAGACGGAGGAGGAGGAGGAGGAGGAGGAGGAGGAGGAGGAGGAGGAGGAGAAGAGGAGGAGGAGGAGGGAGGGGAGGCCAGGAGTAGGAGGAGGAGGGGAGGAGAGGGAGAGGAGGGAGGAGGGAGGAGGACGGCAGAGGAGAGGAAGGAGAGGAGGAGGGAGGGAGAGGAGAGGAGGAGGAGGAGGAGAGGAGAGGAGAGAGGAGGAGGAGGAGGGAGGGAGGGAGGAGAGGAGAGGGAGGGATAAGAAAGAGGAGGAGGAGGTCGGAATCGGCATCGCTCCTCTGAGTCCCAAGGTCGGATGGATTTGGGAGTGGGGAACCTCCTTCATATCAAGCTCTCGGCATTCCACAACTGAAGGGCGCCAGCGAAGGTGCCCTTCGGCAGACGTCGGCGCACGGCCGAAGTCCTGAGGCTGCTGCGCACTCTAGAGGCACCCCCCTCGGGCCCGTGAAGACAGTGGCCTCTTCTTTCGACAGTGGCCTCTTCTTTCGAAGAGTTTTTCTCTCACTCTCCCCCCCCGTGATGATGTAACCCTTTTTCGTATTCAAATTTGCATACGGTTCTGGCCCATCGTCCATCATAATTATGAACTCGTATCATCCCAGCCAGGCCCATATCGACACCCCCCGTCATCCTCTGCAGCAAGTACGTTGCGCGCCCAATCGTTCATTACCATGTATCAGTTTCAAGAACCCATTACAGTACATGTGACGAGGTTAACACGCGTCGTCGCGCGCGCATGCCGTACTCCTTCGCAAACGTTGTTTGGTTTCGTCCGGATTTCAAAATCGAGTGTCCAGGAACCGTTTCAAAAAAACAAAAAAAAAAAAAAAGGTTTCGCAACATCAGTTTTCAAAGAAAGCCGGCGCTTGCGCTCTTGCGAGTCCTCAAGAAAATCACAGGTTGTTCAGTTGTTCAGAACATATTACCAGGCGGGCTTTGCGCGCGCGCATGTCGAAATCGTTCGAATGCCCTTGCGCGCGTGCTGTCGCGAGAATTCTTTGCAACAGATGAGACGAAGTGCGCGCGCGCGTCGTCACGCGCATGCCGGAATCCGTCCGAAACTTTAGGTTCAGCGAGGATTGCGAAACCGAGTGTCGCGAAATCGCGTAAAAACATGTTGTGTCGTAGCAACAGATTTCAAACGTCGATTTGTTTGTTAAAAAATTTGTTCATCAGCTATTAACGTGGAACCTTGCCAAAGGGCATCCCGCGCCGCATGTCGACATCATTGCAACGCCCTTGCGCGCCTGGCGTGATCTGTGTCAAATCATGCCATGCGGGCCACCTTCGCGCGTCGGCCGCGCGCGCATGTCGAATGCTTTCCAGAGCTTTCATCGCCGACGTGAGGACGCCGCCATCGTCGTCGGCGCGATCAGCAGCTGCGCCGTGACTGGCCGCGTCGTCGTCATTGCCGACATCATCACCGGCACCGCGATTATCATCGCCGTGTCTACTGTTGTCGCCATGATACTGCGCCCGCCCAAGTCGCCGACTCGCACTGAAGCGCCCGCTGGGATGCGCCCAGCGGTCAGCGCCACCGCGGCCGCGTCGGTCGCGTCGCGCGCGCGCGGGCTGGCGCGGCCGCAGAGACGCACCAGCCAACGCCATGCACTCATGGCATTTGCCGCCGCTCGTGTCTTGCAAGGCAAGTCGCGGGCGGGCGGTTGGGATGATTGCGCGAGCAGTGGAGCTTCCGATAATTCCATGCAACAAATTGGACGAAGTGCGCGTTCGCACTGTCGCGCGCGCGTGCCGGAATCTGTCGACAACATTCGGTTTCGTCAACAATTCAACATCGAGCGTCCAAAAACATCACATGGCCTCGCAACTTCAGTTTTCAAAAAACCCGCGCACGCGTTCTTGCGACTTCAAGAAAAGCATAGGTTTTCCCACATGTTCGGAACATGCTGCCAAAAGGCTTCGCGCGAACGCATGTCAAAATCGTTCGAACGCCCTCGCGCGCGCGCCGTCGAAAGAATCGGCTCGCAAAAATTGAACGCGGCGCGCGCGCGTCGTCGCGCGCGCGCCGGAATCCGTCAAACACCTTTTAGGTTCGCGAGGATTTCAAGACCGAGTGCCCCGCATCAATATAAAGAACATCTGTGGTTCCGCAGCTTCAGCTTGCAAAAGGTAAGCGCGCGCCCCCGTGCGAATTCTGAAGGGAACAATAGGTGCATCAACCTTGTCATTGAATTATGCCGAGTGGACCTTTCGCGCTGCATGCCAGCACCTCTCAGACGCCCTTGCGCGCGTGCTGGGGGGGGAGGGGCGCGATCGGAGTCAAATCGTATCATGCGGCCGCTCGCGCGTCGGCCGCGCGCGCGCGTCCAACTCCTTCCAGAACCTTCAGCGCAGACGCGAGGGCGGCGTCGTCGTCGCTGGCGGCGCGATCAGCATCAGCGCCGTCGTTGGCTGCCCCGTCGTCGCTGTCGGCAGCGTCGCCGGCATCGCTACTTTCACCATCACGCCTGTCGTTGTCGACGCCGCCATAATACCGCGCCCGCCAAAGTCGCCGATTCGCATTGAAGTGCCCGCTGGGATGCGCCCAGCGGTCAGCGCCACCGCGGCTGCGTCAGTCGCGCCAGACTAGCTGGCCGCTGCGCGCGTTCGGGCCGGCGCGGCCGCAGAGGTGCACCAGCCAGCGCCAAGCGTGCATCGCAATCGCCGCCGCATGGGTTTTGAAAACCTCGCGGGTGGGTGGGCGGGATGTTTGCAAGAGCGTGGGATGCGTCAACTCGTTTATGTTAAATCAAGTCTCCTTCCTATAACAAAAATAAACCATCCCCCCCGGAGGTATCGATTGCCTTCTTTCGTATTGTAGTTTGCATAAGCTTTTGCCCCATCGCCCACCCTACCTGTGAATTCATCCTATCTCAGCCAGGCCAGTGTCGACCCCCCAGAGCCATCTTCTGTAACAAATTATGTGCGCGTGCTCGTTTATCAACAATCATAAGTTTCCAAGAACTCTTTGCAAAACATGGGACGAAGTGCGCGCGCGCGTCGTCGCGCGCGCATTCCGAAATCCTTCAACAACTCTCGGCGTCGGAAGGATTAAAAAGAAATCGAGCTTCAAACAAAAAACATACAAACACACCAGGTTTCGCAACGCGGATTTTCTTAAAGAAGTTTACGCGCGCGCTCTTGCGAAATCTTAAGACAACCATCGGCTTTTCAACATGTTCAAAACAGACTGCCAATCGGGACTCGCGCGCGCATGTCGAAATCGTTCGATCGCCCTTGCGCGCGCGCCGTCGCGAGAATCCTTTGCAAACAATGGGGCGAAGTGCACGCGCGCTAGGATGTTTGGTAAAACTGATGGATCTCCCCGTTTCCAGAACTGGCGCGGGCTTCCACTTGCGTTCCCCTTGCTCCTGCCCTTGCCTCCTTGCTTGCCCTTTCCCGCTTCTTCCTCTCTCTCCGCCGCTTGGCGGCTCAAGCCTTTTCAAAGGCCAAGCTGGGGGTCGGCCTCAGTTGGCCTAAGGCCGGGCTCCGGGACCGGGGCCAGAAGACCTTCAGGTCCTGGGTCCAGGCCTGAAAGGGGGCGCCCGCGGCCGCATGATGCCGCGCCTGGCGCCGCGCGGCTGGGGGGCGGCGGCGACGCTGCCCGCGGGCGCGCAGCAGCGCAGCGGGGGGCCCGGGCGCCGAGCGGCGCCGGCTCACGCCAGCCGCGGAGCACCCGGGGGCGAGGTGGCACCTGCCGAGGCAAGGCTGCCGACCCCCCCCGCCGAGCCAGCGTCCAGGCGCGAGCCCGCGCCGGCGCCGGCTCGTTGCCAGGCGAGGGCGGCAGAGCGCGTGCGCGCGCCGGGGCCCACCTGGAGGAGCTGCCCCAAGGCCCCGGCGCCGCCGCCAGCCGGCGGGCGCTGCGGACGCGCGGCAGCCCTGCTGCTG